CCCGCGGGGCGAAGGAGGCGTACTCCCAGGGCCGAAGTACGCCTAGTACGACCCGGCGGGTCCTACTAGAAGGCCAGAGTAGCCCTACCAGTACCCCCCCCCAACCCCCCAGGGCCGTACTAGTACGGCAAAGTAATCGTACTAGTAGCTCTGCCGGGGCGGACTTTCGGGGGCGTCTCGAGCAGAGGCTCACTCCGCCGGTCGTACTAGCAGCCCAAAGTAGCCCTACTAGTAGCCCCGGCGGGGCGGACTTTCGAGGATGTCTCGAGCGGAGGCCCCCTCCGCCGGTCGTACTCGTAAGCCAAAGTACCCTACGAGTACGCCCCCGCCACTCTCCCAGGGACCGTACTAGTAGCCCAAAGTAGCCCTACTAGTAGCCCCTCCAGGGCGAACTTGTGAGTATGTCTCAGGGGGGGCTCTCTCCGCAATTCGTACTAGTAGGCCAAAGTAGCCCTACTAGTACGCCTCCGCCAACCCCCAGGACCGTACTGGTAGGCCAAAGTAGCTCTACTAGTAGCCCCGCCGGCCATCCCCCCGGGTCCGTACTAGTAGGGCTACTTCGGCCCTACTAGTAGCACCGCCGGGGCGGACTTTCGAGGATGTCTCGAGCGAGGGCCCCCTCCGCTGGTTGTACTAGTAGGCAAAAGTAGCCCTACTAGTACGCCCCGGCGGGCCGGACTTTCGAGGATGTCTCGAGCGAGGGCCCCCTCCGCCGGTCGTAGTAGTAGGCCAAAGTAGCCCTACTAGCACGCCCCCGCCAGACCCCTCTGGACCGTACTAGTAAGCCAAAGTAGCCCTACTGGTAGCCTCGCCGGGGCGGACTTTCGAGGATGTCTCGAGCGGGGGCCCTCTCCGCCGGTCGTACTAGTAGGCCAAAGTAGCCCTACTAGTACGCCCCCGCCAGCCCCCCGGGGCCCGTACTAGTAGGCGAAAGTAGCTCTACTAGTAGCCCTGCCGGGGCGGACTTTCGAGGATGTCTCGAGCGGGGGCGCCCTCCGCCGGTCGTACTATTGGCAAAAGTAGCCCTACTAGTACGCCCCGGCCATCCCCCCGGGTCCGTACTAGTAGGGCTACCTCGGCCCTACTAGTAGCCCCGGCGGGGCGGACTTTCCAGAATGTCTCGAGCGGGAGCGCCCTCTGCCGGTCGTACTAGTAGGCCAAAGTAGCCCTACGAGTACGCCCCCGTCAAGCTCCCGGGGGCCGTACTAGTAGGCCAAAGAAGCCCTACTAGTAGCCCCGCCGGGGCGAACTTTCGAGGATGTCCCGAGCGCGAGCCCCCTCCGCTGGTCGTACTAGTAGGCCAAAGTAGCCCTATTAGTACGCACTCGCCATCCCCTCAGGCCCGTACTATCAGGCCCAAAGAACCCGACTAGTAGCCCCCGCTTGGGCGGACTTTCGAGGATGTATCAAGCAGGGGCGCTCTCCGCAGGTCGTGCTAGTAGGCCAAAGTAGCCCTACTACTACGCCCCAGCCATCCCCCCAGATCCGTACTAGTAGGGCCACTTCGTCCCTACTAGCAGCCCCGGCGGAGCGGACTTCCGAGAATGTCTCGAGCGGGAGCGCCTTCCGCCGGTCGTACACTTTAAAAGTAGCCCTACTAGTACGCCCCCGCCAGCCCCCATGGGCCGTACGAGTACACCAAAGTAGCCTTACTAGTAGCTCCGCCGGGGCAGAGTTCCGAGAATGTCTCGAGCGGAGGCCCCCTCCGCCGACCGTACCAGTAGTAGGCTCAAGAAGCTCTACTAGAATGCCCCGGCCTAAACCCTCCTACCCCTTCCCTCTGCCCCCTCCCCCCTCTTTCTCTCTCTCTCTCTCTCTCTCTCTCTTTCTCTCTGTATTCCTCGTTTTTCCCTCTCTCCCTCCCCCCGATCCCCCCCTTCCCCCTCCTCCCTCCTTCCCACTTCCTCGTCGCCGGCGCTGCCGCCGTCGCCGTCGTCGTCGTCGTCGCCGTCACGCAGCCCCAAGCCGACCCCGCGGAAGCCCCAAGAGCCACAATTAAGGCTAATCGTGATGAGAAGATTACATCTACGATTCGCACATCGCTCGGCGATGATAAAGTTCTGTCTCGCCGCCCCCTCCGCCGACCAAATGTATATTTCCAGAAATACCCAACGCGGCGGAGTTTAGGATCCCGAACGTACTCTCTTTATCCGGTACACAACGGTACTCAAACTAGCTACCTCACCAGAGCGACTCTCGAGAGCGCTTCCATCAAAACCCCAGAGAAACATATTCTCGCGGAGAACGATTGCAAAGTCACTCCCTGAAGCCTTCCACTCTCCACCCTGGCACAGCGTAAACACAGTACCACCACAATCTCATACAATGTAACAGGAGCACCCTCAAACAACCAGGCACCTGACACGCGCGAACTCCACCCAACAGACCATTTCCCGCTCTTCACTGTGAATATCAAACCCGAAACCGCAACCCCCGTGGGCCCATGCCCGCTGCATCTCACACGACCGATAGCGCACCCGACTCAGAGTCGGAGTCTACAACGGTCGGAACCACATCGCGGTCGGCACCCACCTCGTCTGGCACGATTAACGGCGCGCCCACCTCGCATGCCGATTCTACTCCTGTATAGACAGTATCTGGATCCATGCCCTCCGCGCCGGACTGGAAGGGCGCCGCGCCCGCGCGCGCGCCATGACACCCGGTGCCGAACCCTCCCGCGCCCGCGAAAGGCAACGAGAACCTCAGCGGTGACTCTGTGAACCAGCTCTCGTTGGCGGCACGCTGCCCATCGCGGTCGGCACCCACCTCGTCTGGCACGATTAACGGCGCGCCCACCTCGCATGCCGATTCTACTCCTGTATAGACAGTATTTGGATCCATGCCCTCCGCGCCGGACTGGAAGAGCGCCGCGCCCACCAGAAAGCGCCACGCCCACGCAACATGAGGTGTCGCCGACTCAGCCGCTGACTGCTGGGCAGCGGGTTACCCATGACCCCGATTCGGCCGAGGATGGGTTACCACCCCCAGCCCGGACGCAAAGGATTACCCCTGCGCCCGATTCGGCCGCCGATGGGTTACCACCGGCGGCCCGGAGGCAAGGGGTTACCCCTGCCTCCGATTCGGCCGAGGATGGGTCACCACCCCTGGCCCGGACGCAAGGGTTCCCCCCTGCGCCCGATTCGGCTGACGATGGGTTACCACCGGCGGCCTGGAGACAAGGGGTTACCCCTGCCCCCGATTCGGCCGAGGATGGGTTACCACCCCCAGCCCGGACGCAAAGGATGACCCCTGCGCCCGATTCGGCCGCCGATGGGTTACCACCGGCGGCCCGGAGGCAAGGGGTTACCCCTGCCTCCGATTCGGCCGAGGATGGGTTACCACCTCCGGCCCGGACACAAGAGGTTACCCCTGCGCCCGGCCGCTGTCTCGTCGTCGTCGTCGTCGTCGTCGTTGTCGTCAGCTCCTCAGGCACCCTGTCGGGCACGCAGGCCCGTGGCGGTAACAAATGTGCTGAAGACCAGCTCAGACGCGGCTAGGTCCAAGTCGTTCACAGACAGGACTCCCGGGCCGCATAGGGAGGGGAAGGGTTATGCAGAGGGACTCCCGCGTCAGACTTCCTCGCAAGTCTCTCGAGTTACGCACGCACGAAGCTCCCGGCTCATTCCTTCCCCATGTCCACGATTGAAGAGGCCAGAAGGGGACCGGGGACCGAGGACCGGACCGGGGGCCGGTCAAAGAAATTCCGCCATTGTGAAGCGGGTGCGGAGGCCTCGCCGAAAATCCTCCACATGGCCGACGTACGCGTGCTAGTACGAGTGGAGCGGGCGTACGGGTTCGGCTACGTAGGCGCACTAATACGACAGCAAAATGCACGGACGGGCGTACGAGTACGGCTACGTGAGCCTCCGAATACGGCGGCGGTGCGCGGCTCGGGCGTACGAGTACGGCTACGTACGGCGACTAGTACGACTGTGACGTGCACGCCCGAGCGTACGAGTACGGCTACGTACTGGTACGAGTACGACTGGAGCGGGCGTACGACTTCGGCGACGTAGGCCTACTAGTACGGCAGCAGTGTGCAAGAACGGCCGTACTAGTACAGCTACGTACGCCTACTAATACGACGGCGGTGTGCCGGGTCGGGCGTACGAGTACGGCTACGTACGGCTACGAGTACGACTGCGACGTGCCCGGCCGAGCGTACGAGTAGGGCCACGTACGCGTACTAAAACGACCAGAGCGGGCGTACTAGTACGGCTACGTAGGCCTACTAGTACGACGGCGGAGTGCAGGGACGGTCGTACTAGTGCGGCTACGTAGGCCTACTAAAACGACGGCTGTGTGCGGGGCGGGGCGTACGAGTACGGCTACGTACGGCTACTAGTACGACTGCGGCGTGCACGGCCGAGCGGACGAGTACGGCTACGTACGGCTACTAGTACGACTGCGGCGTGCACGGCCGAGCGTACGAGTACGGCTACGTATGGCTACTAGTACGACTGCGGCGTGCAAGGCCGAGCGTACGAGTACAGCTACGTACGGCTACTAGTACGCCCCGCGGTCGTACTAGTAGGAGGAAGGAGGCCTACTAGTACGACGACCGGGCTAAGCAAGCCTATTCTGCACTCAAGAAGCCCTTCAAAAACCCCAGGAGGCCCCCAAGAAGCACCCAAGGCGCCCCGAGAGGCCCACAACAGCCACCAATAGGACCCCAAGACGCCCCAAGAGAACTCCAAGATGCCACTGAGAGACATCCCAACAGACTCCGAGGCATGCAAGAGGCCTCTAGCCCAGTGAGGCGCCCCGAGGTATCCCAATGATGCCACGCTCCTCCGAGCTGGGCAGCTCCCGTGGGCATCGTTCGTGGATGGGCTGGTGGGAACACACGAAACGTTAAGAATCCCGAAGCATTGCATTAGCTCTGCTACTGCTCTGGCTTGAGTTGGTGTATCCTGTCGATCGTGACATCCTAACAACAAAAAGAGAGGGTCACCTGCGCAGCCTCCATCGACCAGCCTCCGCCTCCTCCCGCCGGAGACCTGCATGGTGGTCTTCGAGCAGCCGCCGCCCACTAAGCCGACCGGGCTCGGGACCTGCTCGTCAGTCCACGTGTTGCTG